TTAGTAATTACAAAATCAAAACCATTATTTTTAATGTTAACTTTTTTTAACTACTCATTTATTTCTATATGTGAAATATTTGTGTAAACAAAGTAAAAACCTAATACAATAGTTCTCCTTGGACTCTTAACATGTGTTTAGATGAATAGTTGAAATTATTATTTTTTATCTAGAAAACCATAAAAACTTTTATTACCATAACCAATCTAAATTTTGATTATTTCTGACAATTAAGACATTTTCTAGTTATCTATAAAAAAAAATACACACAGCAAATTCTATGCTGAAGGCAAAGTCTTACCCCCTTGTTCATCCAACATAACCAATGTTTTTACCCCTACATCTTGGCTCTATGTGAAGCAAAACAAAAGAAACAAAAATGTCAGCCAAAAGCAAAACAAAATCATGCATTCTAATACAGAGGCATAAACAACATCAACATACTCAGAATAAGAAATATTAAACCAAAACTAAAACCATGCACAATGATAACTAGTTTAATAAATAAGCTTAAAAAAAAGCATAACAGACTCTTGAGAAAAACAACAACAATCAACTTAAGTTGTAGTGCCGTATTCGTTAAATCCAGCTAAGAGAGCCACATTTATATATAATGTACTCAAGCTACTTCACAATAGTAAAAAAATATATGATAATTATAAAGTGCACAAATCCTTAACTGTCAGCTCCACTTCTCTTTAAAAAGTTCTGTCCACATGTTAAATTGTGTATACCAGTAAGATTCATACTATTTTAAATAAAAGTTTTATTATTCTAGGAAATACACAAAAGAAAATACCATCTCTAGTGGTAGGGACTTCTGAAACACACACACACTGGAGGTAAAATATATTTTCATCTGTGATTCATAACATAAAATTACCTCTAAAAGACTCATTTTAATGCAGTACAATGCAGACAGGTGTCAACTTATGATACTACAGTCATTTTAATAGCAGTAATAATACAATGCTGAGCAACCAACTTTGTGAACAATGGGTCTTAAAATTATCCAGAAAGTTAAAAAAAAATTAAAACTGAACTGTTCTGATTACACCAGTACTAAAAAAATTCATAATGCATTTTTTATGTAAGTGCAAAAACAGAAACGAATTTATTCATCAATCATTCCAAAATTTTCAAGAAAAAAATATCAGCAAATACAAGACTGACAGGAAGGGGGGGAGAGAAGAAATGAATGTCATTGGTGGTTCACTCTTACCTCCCTGGTCATCAAGGGCCACTAGTGTTCGAATCCCTGCCTCTTTGCTCTGAGTTTTGAAGCATTAAAAGGAATAAGATTATGTTTCCATTGTAATTATGAAACAGGTTAATGTCAAGGTAGCCTTTCCACTAAAATTATATACTGTTGCAATAAAACATATAAAATTTCATAAATTCCTACCATGCACTTATGGTAGGAAAGTTCAGCAGTTCAAAGCTAATGCTTTATTTTATCTATGTTTCTGCAAGGAATTTGTTTGAAATATATTGTTGAAGAATAGAACATATTTCAAAATTAGAATGAAACACTAAAACTTAATTTTAAATGCAATTTTTTCAGCTACCATATATTAATGTTTCATAAAGGGAACTGATGATTAATCTCTGCAAGGATAGGTAAAAATAATTTAAATTAAAAAAATTATATATAAAATATAATTAAAACTGCTTTCCTAACTGTTATTCTGTAATACATAGACTTCACATAAAAAGTCTCTCATACATTACTCGTTATTACCATTAGCTTGAATATGTTTTCTTTACCAATCAGAATTTCTTGCATCCTAGCATAACTTAATACCACAGGTGAAATAAATACTTATTATTTGATTATTATACATATAGAAATATCTTCAATGTGTAAAACAACTTTTTTTATTGTGCGATAAAAAAACAACAAATCTGCTTTGTATTTACTGAAAAATTAAATTCAAAACCATACTGACCTCTTCACATAATGTTAGCATTCGTCTTGTGGATTCCAGAGACTATAAAATGATAATAAGAAATAAATTAATGTCACATTCAAAATGAAGAAAAAAAAGATTATGATTGGAGATCACAAAAAGAACACTTTTATAAAATCTTAATGTTGCCTTCCTACATTCAGAGCTATGATAATCATATTTTACGCTTGATATAACAATTATCTTATAATTTTTTTTTACATAAAAAGACATAATTATTGATGACAATTACTTTAAGGTAGGTTATATTCACAATATTATTTCCACTTTATCACAAGATCATACAAAGGGCAGAATCACTCATTATCTAGTAACCTAGATATTCAATTAAAATAAATCCAAAAGGTACCTTATGAAAAGTGGGTTCCCACTAATAATGAGGATTAACATGTTTGTCTTCATATGTTTCAACACAAAATTGAAAAAAAGGTTTTGGTCCCTTCTCACCAAAATATAAATGTAAACTATAAAAATGTGGTAGTTACTAATCAGTCATATGATTTTTCCCATAGATGTGTTTTTTATCAGTGTTTTAGTTTATTTTAACTTTAAAGTTGTATCTCAATATTAAAGGTAACTGCTTTCCCACAACTGGTTGCAAACAGCAAAAGACAATACGAGTTGAGACTTTGTGGGTTCAAGCATTCCCTTGACTGATTTTCCTTAATTGCTGGCTAGTTTGACATCGGCATCTGGATCTTGTCTGATAGATGGGATATCCCCAATGTGTTTGGGTGCTATTGCCATAGACGTTATCTGTTATGAGTTTTAATGATGACAAGGACTGGTAATGGAAAAAATCAATTTTGATTTTTGAGTGTCTTTGTAATGTTTTTGATTTATATTAATTTCACCATTATTATTTTAAAGTGCTGATTAAAAAATTGTCTATTTAGAATTAATGTATTTGACAGCTTTAGAACAACCGATTTATATAGATACGTATATGTATACACACACTAAAACATAACAAAAATGTAAGGTAAAAGAAAAATACATACACAATACTACTCCTGCATTATCACATTTAGGGTCTACACACACTAAAACATAACAAAAATGCAAGGTAAAAGAAAAATACATACACAATACTACTCCTGCATTATAAAATGTTTTAAATGGAACATATTTACAAATTTAACTTCTTACAATGCCTAGGTCATCTTAAACACAAGTCAAGGCTAGCAAATGGAACAAAATAAATGTTTAATTTGTCATACCACCAATTACTTCATTTAGAATGTTGTACTATAACTACCCAATCATACATGCAAAAATTATTGTTTTTATCAAGTAACAATGCTAAATGCATTTGAAGTGTTCCTATGATATATTTTACGAAATAAAACAACGTCAGCAAACGAACAAAAACATGGCATATAAGTAGATGCATATACAACTTGTATAGCATAGCATTTCTCAATGCTCATGTTAATATACGCAACTAGGAAAGCTCGTCAATTTACCATATGTACATAACAATAACTCATTAAGTAATGAACTGTGGATGCAAATATTTAAAGATATTTGTAGTTGTGAAAACCTAAATGAATAGTTATTTTGAATCTTTTTGATGACATTATATAAGTACAGAATTATTTTTGACCCAAGTGTTTAATTCCTAATCTCTTATGCGTGATACACAATGAGTGTCTCACTCAACTTTATCTTTAACTTCAACCTCAACTTCATCCTTATTCAGACAGCCGTACTACAGTAACTAATATATTGTTTGTTATCATGCAAAATTGCTTGTTGAGTGTTACTTGAATTGCTGCTTTGAATTGAACAAAAACTTAAAAATGATGTTTCTCAATTCCTCTCCCCCACTAAATAAATTTTATCTTTCAATATTTATTCCTCGATTTTATATTTATTTCAAATATTATTTATTAAGTTGAATACAAATATCAATAATACAGTTACCATTAAATTTACCATCCATGGATGTGGAGTATATGTTCTTTTGTGTTGGTCAGAGAGAAATAAATTATTAGTTATAATCAATTTTGCATGTCTTGAATTAAATCATCAGAGTAGATGAAAAAAGGGAGCTTGGTCTGTTTTCCACCAAGTTCACAACAGAAATCTATTTAGTGTCTGATAATTTGGATATAAATTCTGATTAATTTAAGGCCCAGCAAATTAATCGGCAACATGTTGACTAGTATTTCAACAGTACCATATTTTATGAGAATTTTTACTAATGCACAATATTTTCTACAATTATGCATTCTGATGGATGAAATCACAGATCTGCTACAAATTTTCATAACATTCAAAGTACATATAATTACATGTAGCAAAATCTACATTTGCTTGTTTGTTAGTAAGCACAAAGATACACAGTTTCAATGACAAACATAAATTAAAGAATTAGCATGAATTAAAAGTTCATCTTAAACTACATGCATTTTGTATTCAAAAGTTACAAAATGAAGTAGATGGGAATAAATGTAGTCCTACACAGAAAAAAATCAATAGTCTAACACCCATACTTAAAAGAAACAATGAAAGAATCTAAGTACAAGACATAAAGAAGGCCCAGCTTCGATAACTATATGCATAAAACATTTAATGCAACAACAGCATGGGTCCAGTAAAGTTTATTAAAAAGGATGAAAGAAATGTAATCATTTCTACACTTGATATCACACTAGCATGCACATAAACAAAATAATAAACAGAATGTGTATCCATATAAATATAATAGTACTGTCTGTTGTATGTCCATGTAACTGCTTTGCATGGTGTGGATGGACCTTCACCAAAATTGGTATGGAAATTTATTAGGTCCATGTTGGGGTTCATACAAATGTTCAGTTTTTCATTTTGGGTTCTGTGGTTTTTATGGGCGTTTTTACATTTTTTACCACTACTTCACCCACTGTTGATGGATATTCTCCAAATAACCTTTTATTAATCACAAATTTACATAACTTCTGTCCAGGGGACGAATACTCCAGCTCATATATATAAATACATACACAATTAACTGCTGTTTCTTTATTGTTCATGACTTTCTTAATATTCTCTTCTCATATACAAATATGAGATATAACAAATGAAATAACTGTTACGACAGTGGAAGTCACGCGATGCGGGGAACATGCTCGCTGGAGTTTGTCGAAGGATCATGAATTTTCCTGGCAACTCTAGTTTGTTCAAGGTGCCCTCTTTTTTAGTATATAAGCCTGCCGAGAAAAACCAGTGCGATGGAAGAGATAGATAATTGAGTCAAGTGAACAGTAAACACCATAAATAAAGTGTGTGAATCACTATAATTAATAGCGTGTTTTATAAAGATTGTTAAGTTTAGAGTGACTGTGGAAATTCTGTGTATTAAAAAGTTGTATCAAGGAAGAATAAACTTGTTTTAATTAAGAAAGGACTTAAATCTCTGAAGTTCCTTGGTAAAAATTTATACCAGAAATTAACAAACAAACAAGCAAATACATAACATAACCATAAGATTATGAGCATAAGAATCTAGAAGCAGAAATTTTGAGGAGTAATTAGAGTGTACAAAGACCTCCTAGTGGCTTGATAATCATAAGTTAAAAAGCTTGTGCTTCTATTGTTTAACTTTACATGAATTATTGTGCATAACTAAAAGAAATTAGAAAATCTTTCATGATGTGTACCAATATCTACTTTTTTTAGTATAATCACGGTACATATGTAGTTCTGAATTACATCAACACAACACAATCCTTAGCAGTAGAAGAGACAACTTGCTGTATTTCACCTCATAACCACTAAATGTTCTGTCATTTACTGTTTCTAAATCTGTACTTTGTTATAGCAAGGCAAACGGCTTTTTTGTGGCTATCTGTTCTGCCAGTTATAAAGTACAAAAGATAGTAACATTTTAACAATTTCCGCCTACTATCGACTTTTTCGAAAGAAGACCAAACGCATCAAGTAAACCGCTGAATGGACAACTTGCTTAGTAAAATAGCAGAAGACGAGGCTTCGATCCATCCATGAGAGATTTCATCAGATCTGATAAAGACTGACGTATTCGCATCGAAACGCTGAATCCCACAGGATGCGTCAACACTATCGCAAAGCTAGCGAGCGTTGTTTGGTTGCTAAGTAACGGCTCCTGTAGCGGTTTTGAACGACCTTCATTGTAAGTAGTATTATCAAGTAACTTACGATCAAAGAAAGTTACCAAAAATAGATCAGATATTAACCCAATAAATATAGTAGCTAATGCAATACACCGTTTAAATTAGGAGTATTATATGCAATATTATAAATAAAAAACTGACAATGGTTATAATGTATTTATTTATTGGGTACGCTCACCTTTTCTTCTACACAAAGAATTTAAGGGATTTACATGCGAGTTTACTTTTAAAAAAAATCAGAAGATAGTGGACATTTTAGAATTTTTAAGAATAGTGGAGTGGTCTTTCGCCCTCCCTCCTCCAACAGCTTCTTGGCTAAGCGTCTGTATTGCCTATAGATATGGAAACTGAAACCTATTGGCCAAAAGGAAGAATACATTTTTCTACATATATAAAAAAATATATGCTCCATGATACAGAATTTAATCACGACAATATGAACATCCACTGAAGCCGCCATGTTAGGACTAACGAGCGTTTTAAACTTAGCGAAACTTTTCCTGCTATGTGAGTGACGAAAGTCCAGTAATTCATTAATGTATTTGATTTAACGCCATTATAAATGCTTATTATGTTTCTTAACTGATAGCAATCTAGTTATACAAAATTTCTTTATAGGCCTAAAAAATGTGTACGTGGTACATTTTTTGTTGGATGTACCTCTTTATAACTAATGTTAATGATTACACAATTAATTAACTAATTATACTAAATATATGTTGTATTAATTTGGCTTACATATTGGAAACAACTTAATGGAAAATGAAGCAGGTATATGTAAGTGAGTAACTTGAAAAATACTGCAAGAAGAAGTTATAGTGTCCTCCCTCCCGATATTTCATTGGTAAGTTTACAGACATACACATGCTAAACTCCAAGGTTCGA